GGAACACGACATATGTCCTGATGACTCACTTAGTTTCGCAAGCGTTTGAAGCTTGGATCTTGAATTTCGAGATCCGATATCCTGGGATATCACCAGTCTGAGTAATGGCAGCCAGAGTGGCTGCTCCGTTTACTAGGGTCACGAAGGTAGAAGAGCTTGATAATTTTGCCCGGGTGATTGCTGGGGCATTTTCAAATGACGCTCTGAACCGGTTCATATTCCTCGGTCGCGAGTCCAGGCCAGACCATCCCAAGCTTGATGACACTGAGGGAAGGGTTCAGTATTGGTTGCCTGTTGTGAAAAGTCGGTTTGAGACGGGAGCGATATTGATCCAATCCTCCGATTGGGCGGCAGTTGCGTTATGGTAGGCATCAACAGTCACATTGGTGAAGTGCCGTGCTGACGTGCGAATTTCAGGTTACCGCCTGGCATCGAGAAACCAAAGCCTGCTGCAAACGCGCCGGAGGGCTCAGTCGAGTACAGAAAGAAAGTCGATGAACTGAGGAAGAAGCACCTCGGTGACAAACCACATTGGAACCTGAATCTTATAGGAAGGGCGCCTGATCGATTGGACAAAGGTATTAATTCTGTGCCTATGGCTCACATACTGCGACTGACTGAGTGATTCCATTGTAGGTGCTGTTCGAGGTCTGATAGAACCTTACATGCAAAAGGCGCGAGAAGATAACCTGCCTGCATGGCTGGAAGCGACGAATAGTCACGCGCGAGATGTCTACACGCACTTCGGGTTTAAAGTGGTGGACGATTTCAGGATAGGCAAAGGCATCGTCAACGGTCAAGGGTGGATTGAACCTGGCGGGGAGGGTGTGTTGATATATGCGATGATAGCGGGACTGTAACCACTGCTGCGTCGTGTAAACAGGAGAAGGTTTTCCTAGCGGAGGTTTCCACCTTCGGGGCCCGAAAGTAGGCGGCAGGCAAGGGAATCTCGCTGTAGACACCTAACCACGACTGGGCGATTACAGTAATTCTTCAGGCACGGACCACCGCCTATCAGAGAATAGCGTAGCCTCGTCTAGGCTTATGGCTTATGGCTTATGGCTTACGCAGAGATTATGTTAGTTCATCTCGAGGCACCTGTCGCCATCAACATCCCTTGAGCCTGGAAAATGGATATCGAGGTCTATTTAAGCCGAGTATCCAGCTGCGTGATGATCAAATGACAAGCACTTAATACTATCTTCACGAAACTGTCTTTGAGAAGCCCCTGGACCAAAACATCACCAAACTACTGTCCCATCATGTCCGTTACCGAAATCCAAGTCACCGATCTTTCGGTCGCCGCCAAAGGTATCCCAGAGGATACACCTGTCGTTATGGTCAACTTGCTGCGCTTCAAGACGGAGACGACGTACCCAAAGCACTTGGATCATGCCCCCTCTACTGGCCGAGAAGCCTACCTTGGACGTTATGTTCCTGCATGGAGCGCCATTTGTGCATCAGTGGCGGGCTCGGACGACGCAATAAAGCCTCTATTCTTGGGCAAGCCACATGCAAGCCTTCTTGCTGGACCATTCGGTGCAGAGATGTGGGATGTCGTGGGAGTGATCACATATCCCAGCTTCAGAGCTTTTAGGGAAGTGTTGGAAAGCAAGCAGTATCAAGACACTGCTTTGCCTCATCGACTGGCATCGTTAGAAGACTGGCGGCTGTATGCAACAACTGAGCTGAAGCTGTAGCACAGAGGCGTCAACGTCGTTGCTAGAGCCTTGAATAACATGGTTCGCATTATGCAAGATCCGCACACAGCAACTCCTGGCTTTGCAGACTTTCCTAATCAATTGACGCATTGATAACGACGATGGTCGACTTATCCCGATTCTGGGCCTCCTAAGACGTAAGCTTGGGTCATACTCCGTATTCGTCCGCCAGCTCCACCCAAGCATCAACGATTCTGTCGACATCGCTCTTCTTGATGGGTATACGATGAGGCCCATCCCATTCAACGAGCGTAGCTGTGCCAGGGGCACAGTAATCTTCAACCATTCTTTTATGTAGATGTAGTCCCTCATCTTTCAGGCCATGAACATGCAATGTTGGGACTTTCAGTTTCATATCTGGTCGTTCGAAAATGCTGTCGAGGTCCGCGGCATCGGCTAGACCTCCAGCCGACTGCATCCAGGGAAATTGTTCCGACCCCTCACTGAGACTGACCATTGGAGCTCGTCCAGCCAGAATGACAGCGTACCTCCATGGTCCAGTCTTCCCCTGGAGCTGCTGCTCATACAACAAGCTGGCGGCTAGTTTCGCTCCTTGACTGAAACCAAGAACTCCGACCCATTCACCGGTTCCTTCATCGCTCGCCATGCACCGCTCCATGGTGTATTCAAGCTCGTAGGAACAGGCGCCTGGATCGATTTCTGGGTGGGAGTCAAGCCACCGAAACCATCTGCGAAAGGGACCCCAATCTGAATATACCGGATAAACTCCGACACCTTCGTCGCAGAAGAACGGAGCGTCAACGAAGACAAAGCGGTAACGGTTCCGGAGTTTATCGTGATTCCGAAATGCCCGAAACTGGGCCTTGAAGATAGCTGCGTTAACACCACCGCCATGCAGACACAATATCCGCGGTAAGCTCAATGTTGGATCAGACGTAGTAGCCATATTATCCGAGGGTCTCCAGAAAGCACGATGTTTTAGACCGGTGCAGCTCGAAAGTTGGGCTTTGAATGCCGATTTACTCCCAAAATTCTCAGACGCCGTACCAGAGGGAAAGACAGTAGATCAGAGCTCAAATAAAGCAGGCAAAAAAGTGTTAATGTTCTCAAATATGTCGCCTTAGGGTATCAAGTTCTCTTGGTGATTATCAGCCCCATTGAGACCCCTGATGTTGATGAACCTAAAAATAGGGCGTGGAAAAGGACCCCGAGCGTGGTTGCCGGCTGACAAACTTCATCCCATCTCCGCATATCAACATCACCTGTATCAGCGCCACGGCCAATTTGCCGCCAAGTCGAAGCACTTGATGCTTAATCGTTCGGCTATCAATTTTTCCTCTCGGTAACGACTGTCCATCAATCATCCTGTCCCGGCGTCCGAGTACGACCACCTATAGCAAATGTCTGACCGGGGCCTGTTACGGGGAAACAAAGAGGAGGAGTGGTACGGAGTATGCGGGAGTCTCTGAACAAGTAAAGATACGTTGCCCAGGAGCGTGTAAATCGTTCGAAAATGCCAGAGTCGTCATCCAGGCAGTCTACAGGGCTGGACATGTGGCCACAACATATGATACGCCGGGCTGGTGAATGAGCATTGGCAGCATCTCCATGTTGGCATGTGACGCACATGGCTCCTATTGAGGTTACTATACGACTCGACGATCCGATCATGGAGGTGACTCAAGGCTATACGAGAGAGATAATGCCAAGTTGACTGAGAAGGTAGGTGAAACTATCCATTCACGCATTTCGGTTCCTCCTTGGCGAGCATTTCGAGCCTGATACTGAATCACACACCTTTCTGCATACACCTCAGTTGTCTTTCACTTTCGACTTGACATTCTTCCTTGTCAACTACTGTTTCTCCACCGACGGCACGATGCCTGCCAGGTACTGCTGGTCATGCGACAAGTGGTTCCAAAGAAGCCCTCCTGTGAAGAAGTGCCCGAGTTGCAGAGGTGTCACCGAAGCGCAAGATCGTTTGTCCCTTGCGCACATTGAACCCGGTCGCCATGTTCCCCGCTCTATCGACCAGAAAACATCTGTGCCACCGTATTGCCTTAGGCACCACACATTCGGCCACTGGGAAGGAGAGGGATGTACACAACCTGGGGCCAAGACAATATTCGTGGTTCCGTCATTGAAGCTGCATTGGAAGATACCGGATGAGGTTGTGGCAAATCTCACATCAAGGCCTATCCCAATCACCAAGCTCGAAGCCATGGCTCATCTGCAGAAACTCAACGAGTGGACAAGTATGGCCTACAGTATCGTCGTCGCTCGCGATGATATTCTCCGAAAGATAAGAGCAGTCCTTGCTCAAAAGCCGGACGACGCTTTGATTAAAGCATGGCATGACGTTATGGCACAGACAGCATATGGTACCAGAATTTTTCTTTGCGAGCTCCTCAGCCTTCTTCATCACGCACGCAATAGGCTGCTGGAATTCCCCACTAGCGACGAAATGGCTGTCCGGCGCAAATGGCGTCACATCGCCTACAGTCATTTCGCCGTGGCCGACTACCTTGAGAGAACTCCAGAACGCGGCTCGAAACGCATCAATCGTGACGAGTTCAACACCTTTCTCCGCCGACTTGACGCATTCGCCGATCACCACCTGGCAAATCGAGATCTCATGGTGGCCGATGTCGAAGTGACAGCCAAAAAGAGTATGGATGCGGCAGCTTCCTTCGCCGTGAAAGAGCTCTTTCAGTTTTCTGTCCACGCCATGCCAAGAGCTTTGCCACCTATACTTCGCCCAGCGAAGGGTGTTCACATTCTGGTCTGGCCCGACATGAATCATTTGCAGCGACAGGTGCAGCTTGTTATGCAATCCGTGAAATACACATCATGGAGGTCTCACCGAATATTTCTTTGAAGGGCTAAGCCAACAACATTATGTCATGACACAGGGACGCAATTGATACACCATTGTTGTAGAGTGCTTCAACCTCTGGCAAAGATTAAGGGCGCGTCGGCTGGGAGATTGCTGGGCCATGGGAAGCTGGGAGGTGAACTATGCCGCTTTGTACTGTTGTCAGGAAAAAAAGCTCCGCGGCGATCCAAAGGGTCCGATCAAGTCAACCAGCGAAACCCACTGTAGTTTCATGTAGAGGGAAGGCTGAAGACAACCAAATCCTTGATAGTATCTTGCTTGAATCCGTGCAGAAGTAATGTGGGAAGACACAGTTTACTTGCGATGTTACCAACATCAGATTTGTCCAAGGCTATATATCCCTCTACAGCCTCTCTTGCGCAAGCGCAATAAAGCATCAGCAATCACTGCCGCCAAAACCAAGAATTCCCAAAAAAACAATTCGATAGTATCTGGATTTGAACCAGTCTTCTGTCGGCATTGGTCCCTGCGGGTAACGGGCCTGTTTCGGCACTGTACGACCTCGTTCGAGGCTGAAAGGAATGCACGATCGCATGACAGACGTGCTACCACTGCACCATACTATCTGTAATTCTTGTAAGAAATGCACTGAGAAGAAAATATATATGTAGGTCCAAAGATGTAGTGAAGATCGCACTAGGTCGAGTTCGAACATTGATGTATAGTTGTGTCAGGCCTTTGCTATCGTGGCGATTTTATGAAGTGTGGAGGACGAGGCTGGATAATAAGGGGGTTTGCATCAATGCGGGGATGACTTCTGGAGTACCATCTGTGCCATGGACTGGAATTACTTCATCAACTCGGGCACGTCTCGTGGAATTTGAGCGAAACCCGAGATAGACATGTGCGCTCGTGAATACATGATGGCACAGCTACCACGTACAACTACATGTTCCCCATAGCTTTTGAGTAGGTCTGTCAAGATACAGTATGCATGTAATGAATGTTGACCAACAGCCAGAGCAGACTCTCAAGCAGCCCCCGTCACATCCATCCTCGTTCAGCGCAGACATCTGACAACCCTCCATTCATCTCTCATCCGCACTCAAACGGTATTTCCACGCTGACCACACTCACGGATCCTCAATCTTCTTGTGATTGCCGTCGTATCCATGAATGATTTCCCTTTGGTGTCCCTCCTCATCTTTCCTAGAACTGTGGTTCTTTCTCGTCACATACTCCATCCCCTTGCCGCTGTGTGTGTTGCTACCACTATTCGAGTGTTCCTTGCGAGCTTCATAATCCTCCTTTTTCTGTTGTTGTTTTGGAGGTAGTTCCTCGTACGGTAGGTCTTTGTACGCGGATCCTTTGGCTAGAATTGATGTCTGTATCAGCAAGCGGAGCAAGGAGAACGGATGAGAAGGACGTACGAGCCATTTTGATCATGTGACACTAAACAGTAGACTTGAAGACAGCCGAGTGGTCCCTTTGAAGACAAAGGCTCGAGGTGTGCAGGGACGGATTGATATAACTGTTGTCGCGCCCAACGTCATCCGTGCGTAAAGTAGGGAAAAGCGTTCCGGTCGATCGTGGCATACTCCGGCCAGTGGTGGGAATGAGTTTCAATTCGACCTTGGACTGAGTGACCAACTTGGGGTCTCGGCAAGGAGAGCCGCTCGATGGAGACGCACTCGGTACTCTTAGAACGAAGGGCCGTCAACTGCAACAGGTCAGCACACGAGGGGTCAAGAACAGTGATACTTAGCTTGCTAGTCTCACGACCTAGGTACTCAGGATCGTGCATCAAATGTCACACGATCAAGCGCGTGCGCAGGCGTCACCACCAGTGAGGAACGTTGTCTTTGTAGACACCGTCTCTACTTCGTCCGAGGAAGCCACCTCCTGTGTGCTTGCAGTATGCGAGGAGATATCGAGCCTGCAGGATTCGTCTTCTCAACGTCAACCACTTCTCGGTTGGAACGTGCACGAAGTAATCGTGTCCAACTCTCCAATCACCCTCGTGGAGGCGTGAATGTCAAGTGGACATGGGACTTAGCCACAAGTAGCAGACAGAGTAGTCTCGCGAGCTGGGAGTGTTTGAGCCATTCCATGAACTCAAACATGACAAGAGTAGAAGCGATTCCATCTGCAACCCTCAATGTCCTCACCAGAAAGGCTGTACCGATGAGCTACGACGCGATAGCGCATCGAAATCTCAAAGCGTAGAATTCTCCAGCTGCAAAAGGTATTCGGCATCACCTCATGTGTGCCCACCCTTCGGGTAAGTTCCCGTACAGCAAGGCGACGATAGCACAATGCTATGTCGAAGCGGAGGAGTTTCTGCCCACAGTTTTGGATCAGGCGGCGCTCCTTCCGGTTTCTTTTGATCTCATCGGATCACCGTGAAGTATGCTCAATGAAGTTCAGGCTGGAAACCACCTCACGCCGCTCTGGCGGAGTATTTGGCCCCAGCCGGGTTATTCAGGCATGCAAGAGGTCGTGCTGCAGCTCGTCTGACAGCAGCCATCATTCTCATGGTCCTGATAGGGACATTGGTAGGTCATCTTTGCGTAAGAAAAGACTGTACACGCCATCGATCTGGAAGCACCAACGTTTTGTTTAACGTTCACAATCTGGCGATTTGTTTTGACATCCTACAGATTGTGGGTTCAGTCTATGCCGGCTTTTCAGAGCATTTGTTCTTTTTGGATTTGGCCTTTTTGGCACCTTTGTCCTTGATGTTGGTTTGCGGTTACTCTGTAGCCCCGACACGACCTTCCCAGATGCGATTTTCCAGTGATCAGTCTTCAGCCGGTATTCTGCCAATGATAGGCTCCGGTCTGAAGTAGTTGATGGCCCGATCTATGCGTCGAAGCTCATCGTGGACCAGCTCTGAATGATTCGCAGTGTGGCCGAAAAAAAGAGAAAGATTTACAAGCGGAAAGAACTGTTAATTGTCGTCTTTGCTTGTCGGCTTGGCCAGATACGCGGCACAGTTATCAACAACGCGATTATGCAGGCACTAATGTCACTAACAATGTCTGTCCAGCTTCACTTTCATTTCATGTACACCAACGCGTACAATTTCCAATGTCCTCCAAACAAGCCAAATGATTCATTCCACGGTGATGCCTTAATGAATCGCGCCCGCTCCAATATCCTCCATGTCAACACCATTTCCACTTTTGCCTCCAGTGCCTCCACAGCTACCACCAACACTCGCTCCCAATTGTGGATTGACAACATGACTGTGCTCGACATTTTTCTCCTTCTGGATCTGCTCTTCGTTCCAAGCATAAATCCCTCCCCTCTCTTTGAACCCGTTGGTATCCCAAAAAACACTGCTCAATGCCTTATCAACGCCCACCTCCAATATCGAACCACTTGGACATTGACCGGTGCGGTCGAGGAACCTCAAATGCTCATCGAGGATCAGGTAACTCTTAGCCATGAGTTTGTTGCTCTCGGGGACAAAGCATGTGTTCTTGTCGTGGTTGCGGCAGAAATGTTCATATTCTTCGTCGGAGATCAGGAAGTTTCTAACATCGCGTTTGGTCTTGTCGGAATCATTCTCTCCCGCCACGAGCAGGACCTGAAAGCATTTCCAGCGGTATGGCTCCAGGCGACCAATGTGTGCATTCATGTCCTCTTGCCAATTGTACTGACAAATCACAGAGTTGAGTTTGAAAAGGATACCATATTCACGACACCTGCATATCGTGAGAAAAAATCTTCGAGGGCAAAAAGACGAACTTACCAGTCGGCAATCTGATACAACTGCTTGATGTGCGTACCCTTTCCACGACCGATTGCAATGTTTGTCTCTTCGTTGAAGCTGTCGCACGAAATGGCTAAGATGTCGACGTTCTTTGAATGAGCTTTGATCCAGCTTTCTGTGATCTTCGAACCATTGGAGACGATGGACACGGATTCCAATCTCAACACTTCTTTGCAAAAGTCGACCATTTTGCCGAGGTGACCTGGATACAAGAATGGTTCACCACCAGCGAAGTTGATCTTTTTCGCGCCAGCCTCAGCAAGGAGCTTGAAAGCGGCCTTGCCATCCTCGAGTGGTGCGATGTAACTGTTGGTATCGGTGTGGAAACAGAAGCCGCATTCGTAGTTGCATTTGCGTGTGAAGTGGTAGTTGACGGAGAGGGGGATCGTCTTTGGCTTGAATTCGCGGAAGAGATGGTTGTAGAGCCAGGGCAGGAGTGGAAGGAGAAGCAGCAGGGGAAGAATGTAGAGGTTCTGGAACAGCATGACGCAAAGCTTGTTGTCAACGGGTGATTTGGCTCTGTCAGGGTCGCAATCGCATTGAAACGGATGGTCATCAGGAGAGCATGGAAGGAACAGATGGACTTTTATCCATTTCCATGTATTCTGGCGGTAGGTGCAGAAGTGGAAAGAACGACTGAGATGAAAGACAAGCATTCTCTGAAACTGTTTGGGATCGTAGCAAACTTCCTTGGGCTTTGTCAAGCATACAGTTCTTTGCTGCTCGCTTTGTTCGGCCAAATATTGCTGCATCAGCATACAGTCTTACAGCCAGTAGCGTTATTTCTCAGTATTTGTTACCATATGAGAGCGAGAGCAAACTGTTCTCAGTCCATTGTGAGGGTTGCAGACCGCACAAAGAGCAAACTCTTAGAGGCTTAGACAACCCAGAATGGTGATTGATGTTGTCCTGCTTGTTGTTTGGTCATGTTAAGCCTTCATTGTGGTCGTTGTACCCATATCGTGATACGGGCGGTCGACCTGGCCATAAAGAGCTGAAGATACTCTCTCAATACCGACCAGATTTGCACACTTCCAGCACGTTGCATACTTCTCAGCGCCCCGGTTCAAGATGGCAGAGCAGATCGAGCACACCGAAAACACCGAACAGCCTGAGCAGACGGCTAGGCCCATAGAGAAGCAAGACACTTGTACCAATCATGCCTGACTTGAGAAAGCCCGTTGTCATTTATGTTTTGGGTAGGTGCATGCAGTCATTGATTCTGCTGACGGGAAACGCTGACGAGAACCAGGACCACCGGGTGCCGGAAAGGGAACATTGTGCAAGAAGATCCAGCAAAAATACGACATCAAACACATTTCTCTCGGTGATTGGCTTCGAGCTGAGGTGGAAAAAAACACCAGCACAGGCATTCTCGTAGAAAGATATGTCAAGCAAGGCGACCTGGTTCCGGACCAAACCCTCAAGAACATCCTCAGCGAAGACTTCTTTGCCCCAAAGCCGAAGCACGAGGTGTATCCCGCCATGCTCATCGATGGGTTCCCTAGAAAGGTCACCCAAATCCCAAACTTTGCCGAAATTGAACCTGCCATTGTTTTGTTCTTCGATTGCCCCGGACACATCGCACGCAACAGAGTTCTAACACGCATCGACGGTAGCAGAACCCGAGACACGCCAGATGTGTTTGCCAAGCGATATGCCGAATTTGAGAAAGAGAACCCGGCAGTTTTGGAACATTTTGTGAATGCTGGAAAGGAGGTTGTGAAGATTGATACCAGTGGAGATACAAAGAAATCCTGGGACAAATTGACAGAGTATCTGGACAAGTCGACTGCTTGGAAGGAAATGCTTGCGTTACTAGAGTCGGAGTTTGACACGGTGGTAGCA